TTGATTTAAATCAATTCCCATAATTTGGCAATTTAACCTTCAATTGATTGACCTGATTAATACTTGATTTAAATCAAAGTCAATCACAGAAGATTCCTTCCCTTAATTTTGTCTTCATCTTGAACCGTTTGATGCACTCCGTCGGATGTCGCCACATGTCACTTTTTGACAACTAATTCGATTTTGATGAGTCACACGCCACATGGACGAATTATGGGGCCCACAATTTAATCCACCGTACCCTAATTATTTTCTCGTCCAATGGAATTTATTGCACCAAAATTTCTTTGTCTACAATTATCCAACACTTTTTTTCATGCTTCATGCCTCAGTTTGTCTTTATTTTGTTCACACAACACCAATATAAGAAATCCAAGCCTTAGGTAGAAAATATCAAAGTTCGAACTTACGCCCTCATCTTGGAAGGACTTGTTCCATCAGCACCACCAATAATTGAAATGCTCTTGATCTTGACATCTGATGTAATTGTATGAGAAATAAATGAACAAAATATAACTCAATTAGAATATAATGTAACGACATCATAGATAACTTCATCTAGAATGGTAGGTTTTAATAAAATTTCTTAACACGCAACACAAATGTTTTAAAAATAAGTACAACTATGTTTAACATCAGATATAGCAAATGAGCACAAGAACAAAAGATAATTATAAATGACACACAAATTAAGTGTTATGTTTGTGAGAATGTTTGGGGTGTTCACATATTGGGCAAGGGGTAAGGGGTAAGGGTAAATGCCCAGTAATTCAGGGCTAATCAATCAATCTGCTCTGATACCATGTTAAAATTTCAGAGGGACGGACCATTGGCCCACCACTAGTAACATCGATATTGTCCCCAACTTAACCACATATTTTGTAGGTGTGGGTTTTATACAAAAGGCCTCGATGGTATTAGGAGTGGAACCATTTAATATATGGGACTTTCTAATTATTTAAGTTTCCAATGTGGGACTCTATCTATTCTTCAACACTCCTCCTCACGTGAGACCACTTTTTAGTGGGCCACACATGCAACCAATTATGTTAAGATTTCATAGGGATGGGTCCTTGGCCCACTACTAGCAACATCAATATTGTCCCAAACTTAACCATTGAAATTGAATCTGTCACATCCCGGGATCGGCTCCGCCGTAGCACGATATTGTCTGCTTTGGGCCCCCCTCTCTGCCCTCACGGTTTTGTTTTTGGGAACTCACAAGCAACTTCCCAGTGGGTCACACATCCTGGGATTGCTCTGGGCCCCCACTCGCTTAACTTCGGAGTTCCCATGACTCCGAAGCCAGTGAGCTCCCAAAAGGCCTCGTGCTAGATGGAGGCAGGCATGTACATATAAGGCACATCACCCCCTCTCCGTTGGTCATAATGTGGGATGTTACAGAATCCCATACTCAAACTCATACAAATCCGACTATGGAGATCTAACAAAACATGTTACCATTGAAATTGAATGAGAATATGGAAAAATGGGTACAACTAGTCAACTAATGGATCTCCCTGTCCCCGTCCATTTCATGTTTATGCATTCTTTAACTAATGTCCTAAAGATAACACATAAAACCACAAAAGTGGATACTCATACTCAACAATTGGAGCCCCAGAAAGCAGCATACTCCTTTTGGATTAGTTAACCAGACCAACTCGGTTTGTAACAAAACTAATCAATACAACAAAAGAAACATGAAACTGAATATTCAGGTAAGAGAATATTTGTTCATCATTAGCTTCCTAGCAACCAAACATAACATAAACCAAAACAGAAAATGGAAAATACTGATTTTCAAAGATGCCATTACGTTGTTGATAAACGTGAGTGGCTAAAACCCTAGCTTGATGTATTTGCAGAGATGCTAGACCCGCCAGGAAAAAAGATATTTGAAAAAAAAAAAAAACACGCAAGTTTTCCAAAATTGGGCCTAGGCGGGTCCTTTCTATTTTATTTTATAAATAGTACAGCCGCTTGGCTATGCTCTCGAAATAATATATTTAAAACGTATAGCCGGTTGGCTATATTTAAAAGTACAGCCGACCGGCTATACCCCAAAAAAAAAAATCAAGAGGGCCTGTTTGAAGAGGACCTAAGAAGTTGCCACCAATACCAACAGCGATGACATCCTTCAAAGCTTTTCCTGTGGCACCAACCGATACAATCTCCACTCAGACGTGGTAGTTTGTTCGTTCTTGTATATAAAAATAAAATAAAAAACAAATCATGCTCGATGGTGTGATGAAGCAAACCCGAAAAGTTTGTCATTGCCTTTATTTATATATTTTGCAGGTTACAAGGAAGCTTGAGGGTCACGCTAAAAGAGTCACTAGCCTTGCCTTCTCGAACACTCTGAATGTACTAGTTTCTTCTGGTGATGATGCATATTGGAAACTACAATTATTTCATACATGGCTTCTACTCTAATGTGACTTCTGTTATTTAACGACGTCATTTTGGCCCTCTAGATTTTTGTGTGGGGGCCTGCTGGGTGGGAAAAACAGAGAAGCAAATTGAAAGGGATGAAATAATGATCAAAACCAATATTCTAGAAGCAGTTAACTGAAGAGCTGGAGTCAAACTTATGAGCAATGAAAAAGAACCATTTTGCAGTCTAGGTAAACTAAGTTTAATTCTTCAAAGTATGACCCTCACATTTTTCCTGTCAACCTGATTTGATGTCTCCAATATGTCAATATGAGATAGAAATAACAATTGCTATGCAATGAAGATCTATTTCCAGATCAGAAAGCAAAATTTCCTTGAGGCCATTGACAAGTGAGAACATCATTTTTTTGATGTTTCTTATAATCTATACATAAACAATCTTATAAAAATAAAAAAATAATTAAAAAAAACTATGTTCTGCATATTTTTGGTTCATTCTTGACAGCAATTGTCGCTCCAAGGCGTTAGATATCCTCATGAAGGATCTCGAAGTTTTTGCCAAAAGTAATGAGCAGCTTTTCAAAGAAATGCATTCTTGTATATAAAAATAAAATAAAAAACAAATCATGCTCGATGTTGTGATGAAGGAAACCCGAAAAGTTTTGTCATTGCCTTTATTTATATATTTTGCAGGTTACAAGGAAGCTTGAGGGTCACGCTAAAAGAGTCACTAGCCTTGCCTTCTCGAACACTCTGAATGTACTAGTTTCTTCTGGTGATGATGCATATTGGAAACTACAATTATTTCAGACATGGCTTCTACTCTAATGTGACTTCTGTTATTTAACGACGTCATTTTGGCCCAGCAGATTTTTGTGTGGGGGCCTGTTGGGTGGGAAAAACAGAGAAGCAAATTGAAAGGGATGAAATAATGATCAAAACCAATATTCTAGATGCAGTTAACTGAAGAGTTGGAGTCAAACTTATGAGCAATGAAAAAGAACCATTTTGCAGTCTAGGTAAACTAAGTTTAATTCTTCAAAGTATGACCCTCACATTTTTCCTGTCAACCTGATTTGATGTCTCCAATATGTCAATATGAGATAGAAATAACAATTGCTATGCAATGAAGATCTATTTCCAGATCAGAAAGCAAAATTTCCTTGAGGCCATTGACAAGTGAGAACATCATTTTTTTATTGACAAGTGAGAACATTTTTTGAAGCTTCTTATAATCTATACATAAACAATCTTAAAAATATACCATGTTCTGCATGTTTTTGGTTCATTCTTGACAGCAATTGTCACTCCAAGGCGTTAGATATCCTCATGAAGGATCTCAAAGTTTTTGCCGAAGGTAATGAGGAGCTGTTCCAAGAAATGCATCAAATGTGTATGGGTTCAATCCAACAGGGATCATAAGGCACTCTCTATGTGTGGAGATATAATGTCTATGATGAAGACTATGATGAAGGAAAATGCTATATCATTATTCATTATCATATAAATAAGGTACAACAAGCACCATATATGTATCTCTTCAATATGATTGATATATTTGCCAATGATCCTCGTACAACAACTTGTATAAGAATTGAAGAAATATTATTACATAACATTCTATAGTACTATTAGCTACTACATTTTCACATCAGAAAAATACTAAATTCAAAATTCAAAAAATCACTGCTCTTATCATTGACCTCGAGGGTCTTGCCATCTGTTGGTACTAAGCAATGAATCCTATCCTTTATCTACAATTAAGAATCATACAAGACATCAACCATATAGAAAGGATGAAATTTTTGACAATAATTCGTGTTCAGCTCAACACATGACCTCTATCAAATACAAGGGCATTATCAATTCTCACAAAAACAAAGGACATTCTTCATGCTGTTCTCTTAGTTGTAAGTGACATGTTGCAGGACATTCATCTGAGAAGTGCTGCAGAGAAGGATTCGATCAACTGATATGTTGTATGGCACATTTGAATC